TTTTTTTTTTATCACACACGGATAGCGGTGGTGGTGCATGCCGAAAATCTGGTTTACTGGCGAGGGTTTGTGACTCACGTGAATGTTTTGCGAAACTGTCTTCCAATGGGTTTTGAGGACCATTGAGGTAGACGGTCCAGTAAGTGTGGACTAATCTCCATCTGGTCAATCAGTATGGGATCGCGTATGCCCAATCGCACGTATGAGGGTTTCCTCCCGCGTGTATACTCATCATTAATCGGCTGAAAGTATCTAAATTAATATCCACCGGCGTGTATCATGATTTGTGAGATGCCATCTGTATGAATGGCGCTGCTATATATGAAATACTGATAATTATTTTCATTAAAGTGCGATGTCCGGGCCAGGTTTTGGCCGTTATTCAACTAACGTTGTGAGCGACGCGGCGCGCGTAAACTACAAACACGTTGCTGGCCGCAGCTGAACAAAGTTCTGCCGCCTGCTTTGCTCGGTTTCACGGTGCAGCGTTAATTTTTAACGCCACGCTTCTGGGCGGCTCCTGGAATTCTAATGAAAATGTCGGACACTCTAAATATGTCGTGTGATTAATTAGCGTGGTCGCGAAGTGGCTTTTCGCTCGGGCCATCGTGTGGCGACCCATTAGGACTGTGATTTGGATCGGATTAATAATGTCCACCTTTCTTGACAAAGCAGAAAAGCGTCAATGAGTGTGGCGTGGGACGTACTGGCTCTTTCATCCATGCTGGGGTGAAGGCGGCGGTGGATTTAGTTTCGCGTACGAATCAAACCATTGACTCATTCCGGAGATAAGCCGTATTTTTTTTCTCCAAACAATAGATAATTATCATTTCAAGGATGATGTTGAACTTTTGGCTGCGAGTTTGGCTTCATTTGTGTAACTGTCCCTTATGGGTATATCTCTGCAGTTGCGGTGGCCTATGCAGATTAAATGCGGTGTTGTTTTTGCGACGCTAACAGACGGAGTGGCCCAACTTCCTGCGATTGAGGCAGACACGCACTCTCCGCTTTCGCCACTCGCAACTGACGCTGCTCACAGCGCTGTTATCTTCCCCGCCACGAGACACCGCACCCAACAATCCGGTGACCACAACACAGCCGCTAAGTTCATACCAGGGTTCAGAGCTCACAACGACACGGCATCGATCACGCTGTTTTGGTTGTTGTATACGATCCACTTTCACTAGACCCTGTAGCGTGGCTTTGTTCAAATGGGCGGGCGGAGGAGGGGGGCACACGATGTCAATGTTAATTAAACACGCTTTAAAGAAATGTTAAACTCGACAGCGGAACGAGAAACAATATAATCTGCTTTTTTTGTCTATCGTGAATTCTGCCCGAGCTCATTCCCTGTGCATACGAGGAACGTTGAAGACACACTGAAGGGGGTCTGAGAGCCTTGTAGTGGTTGGTGGGTGAGGAGGATGCAGCCCCACATCCCACCGCCAACACGACGGAGCTGCTGTCACTGCATTCAAAGTGGTTAAATGTTGTAAGCATTGAATTCTCCCTCATCAATTGAGCGCCGGATGGTCCTCATCACGAAGTCTTGCGGCAGTTTGCCCATATTTCACGTTCCCATGTTGTTGGGCCGGAGTGTTTTCATTAAAGGATGCACACTGTTGTGATTTCCCACGACGTGATACTTGTTTTATCGACCCTCGATGGATGATGGGCCAAGTCAACTCCCAGCCAGGCACCCTCCGGGGTCTGTCTGCATTAAGAAAGAAAAACGTAACGACATCAATCACATTATTCTTGGTTCTTTCGGTAAAGTCACGTGGAAGGGAAATAATAAAATAATAAAAATATAAAACAATAAAATTATCACGACGTTTCGACTGCAACACAAGCAATCATCATCAGGTGTGAAAACCACAGCATATATTTTTAGTATTTTATTGTTTCCCTTCTACGTGACTTTACCGAAAGAACCAACAATATGAATCCCTGCAGTCACGAAAGCTTTAAATCAAAAAGACATCAATCACGCGGGAAAAAAAAGTCCCCGTAACATTCGTGTCCCTCCACACGCAGAGAGACTAAGCAGTTTTGTGTGTGTGAGACAGGTTAAGGGAATCCTGCCTGAGGCCAAATAACACCCTCAAAATATCTTGAGCTGGTACCTCTCATCCACGTCTGCAGTCACTGCAAGAGGCCCTTGCAGTGACTGCAGCGAGGTGACTTGAGAGCGCTACACTTCGAATCAGCGTTGTTGTTGTTGCCAGGTCGAAACTACCCCCACCCCTCGAGTACCTGATAAGTGTGGCCAAGATGCCTGCAGTGAGTGACACGCACATCTTTTGCGGGCCCCATGAGACGAAGTGATGGGCGCGGCCTGCGTGCCCATCACGTTCGTTTTCCCAGCCCCCTGGGGCCGCTCGTGACTGCTCGAGGCCAGCTTAGGGCTCTCTAGGCGGGGGTGGTGGTGGTGGCGGGGGGGTTAAGCAAGAAAAAACAACCGCCTTGGACTTCCCCCTCCTACGAGCGATTTCCAGTCACCTCGCAACGCACAACGTGGCGATCCAAACTCGCCCACACACGAGTTGTACACTTCTCAGCAACAACAACCACAACAACAACAACAACAGAGCCCCTCAATGTTGATGAGACCAAGATGCGCGCCGAGTCATGGGGGAGGGCTCCCACTCACACGCACGCACTCACTCACTCGGGTTGCCAACTCCTAAGGTACCAGAAACTGAGACAGCGGGTTGGAGAATATCTCTGACAACGGCAAGGCGGGAGAACTGCATGCGAATGCATCGTCCCGAGCGGCCCATTGTTTACGGCAACGGACAAAAGGCAATCAGGACTTTTAGTGTACCGGGAAGACTGAATAGAGTTCTTGGAATGGTGGCTCACAAAGAGAGTACGGCTGGGGCATCAAAACAAGGCAGGTGGCAACCCCAACTCAAGAGGTTTACAATAAAATAAAAATTAATCCGCGTAATTCCTCCACCCCCCCCCCCCCCCCCCCCGTTGCTATTTGAAGGTTCCACGTACACTCTTCGTTCGTGTGGATCTCCGCAGCTGCATGCTATCACATTCCCCATGTAGTGACAGCTTAAGAAGCCGCCAATAGCGGAGCTCCACGCCCCCCACCACCACCCACCACCCTCCTTTGACCCGAGCCATAATTCTAATTGAGGATCGATTCACAGAAATCCCGACTCGGCTGCAGCCGTGAGATGTGTGCCACGACATCTTCTTCCAGAAGTCAACTTGACGCTGTGGTTTCACGTCTCTTCTTGGGTTATTGTTGTTGCGTGCATTGCAAACTGAGAGACAAAATTGTTAATGCCCTCAACAAAATACGGTGTACATCCTCTTTGGTTCTTTCGGGAAAGTCACGTAGAATGAGAATAAAATAATAAAATAACACAGGTCCCGACAGGTCTGTACCTTTCACCTGAAGACGGCCGCTTGCGTTGTGGCTGAAACGTCGTGAGAATTTTATTGTGTTATTTTATTATTTTATTCTCATTCTACGTGACTTTACCGAAAGAACCAAAGAAGATGAATCCTTGCAGTCACGAAAGCTTTAAATCGAAAAAGGTGTACATCTGTTATATTAAAGAAAGTATTGCACTTCTTTCGCACCGTACGTAGCCAGCCGTGCCGATTGGAGGTTAGGGGTCGTCCATAAATGACGTCACGCTCCTGGGGGGGGGGGGGGGGGTCAGACATTTGTGACGATGTGTGACGAGGGGGGGGGGGGTTAGAAATGTGACGTCACATCAAAATGCGCAACTTTAAATACATATAGACAACACGCTCAACTTAATGAAATATACTTTTTAATAAATGTTTTCTCCTACAACATCAGAGTGCAGCGCCACATTAAATACGCACTACAATGACAATAGTTTAAAGCGATCTGAAGCATATATTTTTTTTGGGGGGGGGGGCAGAGCTTTGTGATGTCATATTTGAGGGGGGGGGTCTGACTTTTTGTGACGCCGTGTGACGAAGGGGGGAGGTAAAAAAAATCTTCCAAAATCGCGTGACGTCATTTATGGACGGCCCCTTAGCACGGTTCGTGCGGTCGTGGATGCGTTCCGAGAAAAGGGCACACAGAGCGAAACCGCACGAGAGAGCTGCCTGCCGAGTGCCGCACACAAAGACAAGAAAGATCCCCCGTGATGTTTACACATCGCACCAAGTAATCATTTGAGGCTGAGTCGACCTCGGGGAGGCACAGGACCGCTTCAGATAATCGTCACCGGTGTCGGCCGTGAGCGGGAATCGAACTCGGGCCCACCGGGTTCGTAGCGAACCGCTACAGAACAGCACACAGGACACACACACAATGTTGTTCCACGTCCGATATCATAGCCGCATATAGGTGAATTAAAACCGCATAAAGCGAGGTGAAACTTACACTGAGAGGATATTTGTCAACACTGGCTTTAGATCCTGGGTTATGGAGAAATTCTAAAAAAAAAAATTATATACAATGATGATTATGACAGTGTTATCGCACAATGAAATATGTTTTAAATATTTATTACACATCATAGAGATGGATTATTTACAGTGACGATATATAAAATAATAGTTAAACCCTCATGAGTGCAAATATAAAACTTGCCAGAATGTTTGTATTGCTTGCATCAGGGTTTCCCAATCTCCATTTCTCGTGACCCACCACGTGACGTCTGCCCGCGTTTACCGACGACTTTCATTCAAATACCAATTAACTCGTTCCACGCTGGACGTACCCGATGATTGCTAAACATGTCCCGCGTGACGCGCTGAGCAAATTAACACTGACTGCGTCACGTGGAACACGTGCGCACACACACACACACATATGCGCGCACTCACTGCACATTTAGATTTCAATCTTCATTTTGATCAGTTGTATGAACGCAGACAGCGTTAATTGTTTATCGCGGCACGTGGGAGACGTTTAACAATTATCGGGCAGCGGTGTGGCGTGGAACGAGTTAATTTGTAATAAAATGAGAGGCGTAAATTGATCAAAGTAGAGAAGACGGAGCGTGGTTGGTGGGTCACGAGCACTGGAATTTGGCAAAACCACTGGCTTCCATGGACGCATCTGTAGCCCGGCGTAATTTTAACGCATCTCATTCCAAGTGAATCGTAATGATTTTATCGTCGGTAACTCTCTCGATGATCGCGCTTCTGCGGCAAAACGAGCGGCCGCCAGGGATTTGTCCCCTGCGCTTCGTATCGCGCAGCGGCTGCGACCGCCGCATCGAAGCGTGACCCGTGCCGACCTCGCGCGCACGCTCTGCCTGCCCGTGCCGCTGAGGGCTCCTTGACCATCCTTCGTCGTCGCATTCTACTTTAGTAGCTCGCACATTCTGCCCCTACTGCCCCCCCACCCCCACCACTAAAGTCTGAAAGTCTTTCCCTCCCACCACTCCTCCCCCAGCAATCCATGCTGTCGACTCCCTGACCCCCCCCCCCCATCCACCCACCCGTGCCGGACCGCTCGCCCACACCTGTAAACGAGACTCCGTCACCCCAATGTTGAAATCCATCCGCTGGCTCCAAATCCAATCCAGCATCTTTTGCAAGATCACGCTCAACGTCTTCAGGTCGCCCCTATACACTCGCACCCTGCCTATCTCTCCCCCTCTCGTCGCACTCTGCTCCACTACACCAACCGAAGCTTTCTCTATCAAAGCCCCACAATCCCCACGCGGTTGGAGGTCACTGATTCTCCTCTGTTACCCCCCAGGGTCTTGAACTTCCTTCCCTCAGCCATCCGTGCTGCTGACTCCATACCCCTGTTTCAAGGCCTTCCTTTTTTTTCTCTCCACCGCCGCCCTATACAGTAGCTGAACTGGTTGCATGAGTGGCGAGTGACATCTGAGACGACGAGCATGGTGAAGTATGCTCAAACCTCGCCCTCCCCCCGCGACCGACACGGCGCTGGAGAGACCTTCATCCAGCGGCGGACCTGCAAGGTGACCACCGTACGTTATACTGCTGCAGTGCGTATGACCGACTCTTTCTCTCGATGAATAAATATGCTCGCTTTCCGTGCAGAATCTTTTTTTAGATGCTATCAGATTCGGACGCCGTGGGACTTCCAAACGTGTGTGTAGTTTTATTGGTAGCTGCTTCCCTGTTTGCGTGTTGCACTTCCTCAACAACTGAAATGACCCACGGTGTTTGGGTGGAAGGGAATGGGGTTTGTGTCCAGTGTGAAACACATTCCACTGTGGAACATAAACATGGTAAGGGGGACTACAGTTGGAAGCGGTGCGCACGCACAAATCAACACAAATGTCACCTCTGTTCGCCACACACACAGCCCTGTGACTATAAGAAACGTGCATCGCAGTCTGGACTGGAAACGAGCCTTCGCACACAATGATTTACAGCCAAGTTTACCAATCCACTGCTGCCAGTGAATGCTGCCTCCCCGCATTGTGCCTGTGATGAGGATTCCCTCGCCATACCTCACCACGCTGAGCGGTGCAGGTTGGTGAAGGGGAGAGGAGAGAGGAAAATCCAGTTCAGATATCACTCACCACTGGTGTTAGCCATCAAACTCGGCCCAGTGTGCAAAGCAAGCCTCATGTGTATACATATACGTACACGTATCTGTGATAAGGCCATGCAATTGGAAAAAGAGTGCTGATTATTGTTTAATTTGCACATTTTACTGGCTTATGCAGTTATATATTTACTTCAAGCAAATACAGTATATATGGGATGAAGAGGCAGATCTACAAAGAGGCGTCTCGCAGTGGGCGAGCTAGGTTATGGAGAACTCGCACCGTCTATCTCTCCCCCTTACCTGCGATTATCACGATTTGGTGGCTGCGTACTGTGCGAAAGAAGTTCAACATGCAGGCGTACAGCGCTCATTCTCTGACGGATCACAACAGGAGAAGGCTGTTAATGTGCCGCTTCCTTAGACGTGGAAATAAATTAAAACGAGAATGCCCGCTTTGGGGATTTCGTGAGCATGGCTTTGTGGCACCAAGGCGTTGCCCGTCCTCACTCTTGGCGAGTTTCGTTCGGCACTGGAAGAAGCTTGTATTGGATGCAGTAAAGTACAGCACCCGCGAAATTAATGCGTTTCACGAAACGTTTATGTGCGGGCCTGGAACGCAATTGCAAGGATCGCGTGTGTTTTGAGTTGGACGCGGCAGACTGCGAGCCATGGTGGGGTGAGCGAGGAGGAAAAAGGCGCAAAACGCCTCGCCCTGCTGAAACGGCTTTGCCCACAAGGACGTCAACGGCTTTGGCCATGACGAGAGACATCTTGATCTTGCTGTAAGAAAAGTGAAAAGTGAAAAACGGGCCCAGCCGTGGTTAATTATTTTTTTAAAGACAGCCTGAGCTTCTTTGGTTCTTTCGGTAAAGTCACGTAGAATGAGAATAAAATAATAAATTGATAAAATAAAATAACACAATAATATTCTCACGACGTTTCGGCCACAACACAAGCGGCCTTCATCAGGTGAAGGGACGAGACTGTCTGGTAGGACAGCGCTGTCCGAGACTGTCTGGTAGGACAGCGCTGTCCTACCAGACAGTCTCGTCCCTTCACCTGATGAAGGCCGCTTGTGTTGTGGCCGAAACGTCGTGAGAATACTATTGTGTTATTTTATTTTATCAATTTATTATTTTATTCTCATGCTACGTGACTTTACCGAAAGAACCAAAGAAGATGAATCATTGCAGTCACGAAAGCTTTAAATCGAAATTTACAGCCTGAGCTATCTGATAAATGTATGTGCTCTGATCATTTATTTAATATCTAATGTTAAAATATATATATATAAAAATATGCATTTTTAAATCTTGACTTAAAGCTTTCGTGACTGCAGGAATTCATATTATTTGGGTCTTTGGCTAAAGCCACGTAGATGGCACAAATAATAAAATAATACAAATAATATCAATATTACATGTGATATTTTTCTATCTACGTGGCTTTACCAAAAGACCCAAAGAATATGCATTTTTAACTAGAAATAACTAGTTCATAACGCCTATCTTCTCCAGGCAATACATTTTCTATAGATACAATAATTAACCTGATGGTTTTTTTTACAATTTGTATCTACGATCAGACACTAACTACTCCAAAAAATTATTTTCTGCAAAAAACACACATTGTTGACGACTTGATTCAACTTAGATTTTAAAACGTACCAGACGGAAACCGCTCAATTTGAAGATTCCGTTATTTAGAAAGAACAAAACAATGAACTGTATACTCTAGGGGAAGCTCCTATCTTTATTGAGATTTGAACATCAACAAATGCGTATTTTTTGGTTCAAACCCGCTTGAATCGGAAATCTCAAACAATAAAAGATATAACAATGGTTCTTGCTTTAATTATATTTGCTGTTTAACGCTCTATCAAACTAAAAAAACCCTCAATCGTATATTTTGAACGGTTTCTGAATGACACGCACAAACATGTTTATCGGGCATTTAAAATCGAGATTTGGGGGCCTTAAAATGGAAAATGTCGGTTCAGATGTATCTTGTTGTTTGTGTCCTCGGGCCTTAAAATGAAAAATGTCGGTTCAGATTTATCCGGTTGTTTGTGTCCTAAATGCGACCTCATGTACCAAATTTAATCTTTCTACCTCGTTGGGAAGTACACTCGGTTTTTAAAACATACAGATTAAGGTTTTTACTTATGTAGTGACTCTGATTGTCACTGTGTGGTGCCGGGCTTACAAAGCCATGGCAGATAATGTGTTGGCATTATGTGTAGCCCGCTTACTGGGCGCAGTACCAGCCCGAGCGGGGCTTGGGTGAGCGCTGGTCAGCGTGGAGGGACTACGTACAGTGTGCGGTGCGGGCTCCCGGTGAGGGAGCGAGAGAGTCAGCCAGCCAGGGTTACGCTGGGGCATGATACGCTGGTTGACCTGCCGACACGTGACCGGATGATATTGGAGGGGGGCCACCGGTGGACGGGGGCGCTGGGCGGTCACGTGGTATAAAAGAGCTCTCAGGAGCCTTCAGAAAAGAGCTCGAAAGATCTAGATTCTAGAAGGTGGGCGGGGCGAGTGGCAGAGCCAGCCCCAGCCCAGGCCAATATAACGGGGGCCCCGTGAGGGGCTCGGGGTTTTTCGTGTTGCTGGTGATGAAGATCCACGTCGGGTAAAAGAAGCCTCTAGCCACGCAGTCCAAGACCCAGCTCGTGGTCTGGGCCGGGATAGCGAGCCATGTCTAGTTCTGTCGTAGCGTGGCTAGATGAGCATTCAACACCCAATTGTAGGTTGTGTTATGTTATGTTGAATTACTGAATAAATAGTATTGCTCCCAAGACAATGTCTGCGACTCAGTGGGACTCCCTACACTTATGTAGATTGTGTTTATGGGCTGGTTAATCGCTTTGCAGCAGGCAGCCACTGGCGTACTTCTTTGTAACCCTTTGTCTGCGAAATATAGATATATTGCGAGTACTCAATGTTTAAAAATCAATCAAATTATTGTATACACAATGGCCTACATTTTGTAAAGGAAACGTAAACCAAGTAGGGCATAAGGCAGTATATATTTTTCTCAAGGACAGTGAGCTCAAGGTTGGTCTGCTGTGTTGACAATATAATATAGGAGACTGGCACATGGGTGAACTGGCAGCTGTCAGATCTGGATGTCTGGTGCTGTTATTCATATGGTGGGCATTCCATAATTGGCACAGTGTGGCATACAGTGTGACAAGTACTTAATGCGAAGCATGCTCCGGTTGTGATTCAGGCAGGCACTGTTCTGGCGCATGCCTCAGCGGCCCAGAGTCTTGATAATGCGGAGCCAGCTCCTGTGTTTGCGGGGAGCGTGGGTAAACCTGATCAACTGGATTCCACGTGGCTGGAATCTCTGAGCTCCGAAAATCCTCAGCTGCGCTGGCTCTTGAACGATTTAAAATTCCCTCCTCCATCATATCAATACGGGCGATTCGCCCCGATTGGGATAAATCTCCACAGATTTCGCCCCGCGGAGAAGGAACATGTACGCCAGGCTGTGGATGAGATGCTGGCAGATGATATTATTTCCCCATCCAATAGCCCGTGGGGGGCGCCCACAGTGCTAGTGAAAAAACGTGATTGGAACTTACGGTTTTGCGCTGATTTCCGCAAGTTAAAGATATCGGTGGCAGAAGTTTATCCCCTCCCTCGTATGGACAACTCGCTCGATGCATTGTCGGGCGCATAATTCTTTTCAACACTCGATTTCCTATCCAGGTTTTGGTAATTGCCCCTCGATGACGAATCAAAACCAAAAAATGCTTTTCGCACGCCCCAAAAGCTCTACCACTTCAATTGTCTTCCGATGGGATTTAATTCAGCACCAGACACCTTTTAGCGATTAATGGAATTGGTCCTAGCAGGACTGCAATGGGATTCTTGCCTTATTTATTTGGATGACATCATCGTTTTTGGCAATACCTTTGACGAACACTTACAGCGATTGCGGCTAGGTTGAAATTCAAGCCTCAGAAATGTAATTTGCTTCAGACATCAGTTAAATACTTAGGCCATATAATTAGTGCAACCGGTGTTGCCACAGATCCAGAGAAGACCGCGTGCGTGCGCACGTGGCAGATGCCTAAATTGGTGACGGAGGTCCGCAGTTTCGGCGGATTCGCTTCTCAGTACCGGCGGTTTGTTAAAGATTTTTGCTATACCACTGGACGCCCTCACGGCCAAGGGCCAGAGATTTCGGTGGGATAAGGCTGAGGAGGATTCCTTCTTCACCCTCCGTGCCACCCTTGCCGATGCCCCCCCTTCCCCTCCCCCCCCCCCCCCCGATTTTGCGAGGCCCTTTATATTGGACATATACGCCAACGATACGGGCATCGGGACAGTCCTTTCCCAGCTTGTCGAGGGCACGGAGAAGGTAGTTGCTTACGGCAGTCGAGTCCTGTCTCCTGCTGAACAGCGCGATTGCATCACGTCCAGGGAGTTACTGGCCATGGTCCATTTAAACCAGCTCTATCGTCCATATTTGTACGGACGGGACTTTGTTGTCCACATGGACCATGCGGCCCTCCAGTACTCCCTGCGCATCGACCAGCCATCTGGGCAGTTGTCCCGATGGCTCTAAATCCTCCAAGGTTTCTCATTCAAAGTGGTGCACAGGAAAGGCACTCGGCACATCAACGCTGACGCCTTGTCCCGCTTGCCGCCCCGTGTCGCGTGCACGTGTGCTTCGGGGGCGTGACGATGTAAGCCATCGCATGAGGATGCGCCCGTGGTGCTGGTGGCAGCCGGGACATCGTGGGAGGAAGGCGCTCAGCTGCCGCGCGATTCTGTTTTGAATCTTGACCATGGTGCATAGGCTAAGCTGCAGATTGACGATGCCTCACTTTTGACGCTGTGCCGTCGTGCTTCTCGGGGTCTGGGCCCTGCGGGTCACCCATCCACTGTGTTACGCGAGGGCCTCCTCATGCGGTGGGAAGGGGAGTCCCGGCGTTATTCCTTGGTCGTGCCTTCAGTTCTTAGGAGAAAACTTACTAAAGCCGTTCACGAGAAATTGATGCATCTAAGACTGGCCGGGCATGGAAAACGACATACTCCTTCTGATTAAAGGTTGTGCTGATTGTGCGCATCAGAAATCTCCCACCCTGCGTCTGCAAATCCCGTTACAGTCCATTGTTGTTTCAGGGGTTAATGAATTGGTAGCCCTTGACATTTTGGGACCCTTCCCAGTTTCTCAGAGAGGACACAAGTACCTCCTCGTTAGGGTTGAATATCTCACCCGTTGGCCTCTGGTTGACCAATCGGCTACGTCTATAGCCGACGCCTTTTTGTACGGTTATGTCCTTGATAAGGGGACCCCTGAGCAACTCCTAACGGATCAGGGCAGGAATTTCTCCTCCAAGTTGCTCCGGGAAGTGTGCGATTCCCTGGGCTCGCGGAAAATTCACACCTCACTATATCATCCACAAAACGGATGGGATGGTCGAGCAGTTTCACAGAAACCTTACTGCCATGCTATGCCAGAAAGTGACCATGGGACAGTCGGACTGGGATCTTCACATTCCAGGGGTCCTCGCTGCTTACAGACTTGCTCCTCATGCCTCGACATGATTATTACAGTTTTATTTGATGTATGGGAGGGAGCCTGAACCCCCGGTGCAGGTTCAGTTGGGATTGCGCCCTCCGCGGAAGGGATTGGTACTGCCGACACCCCATGTTGCAAACGCTTGAACAGCTGTGATTGGCCCGCGAGGCCGCTAGGAGCAACTCGGCCCGCAGGCAGGCCGGGAATGAGCGGCTGCGGGGACAGGGAGGACCGGGGATACCTTGGGAAGAGGGGGACATGACGTGATTACATTGCCCCCAAGTGCCCGTAGGCACGTCCGCAAAACTACCGTCCTTGGCAAGGACCAATCGAGGTCATTGAGGTCCGGCGGCCGCAGTGTCTGCGTATTTGGTTGAGCCGGCGGTGCTGGTTCGTGCATCCATTGCGGTTAAAAACATGCGTCTCGTCCGGTCCTGCCGATTCATCTCCATATCCCTTGCGACCAAATGTCTGATGTGTCCGACGCGCCGACTGCCATGCCTGAGTAAACGGGACATGAGGAGGATTGTTCTGTACCGCCTACAGGACTGGAAAGCCTAATGGCCACGGATGGAGCGATGAGGACTCCTTCAGCGGACCACTCATCACGCCCGAGCGGAACTGTCTCTACCCGCGAGGATGGTCCTGCCGCACACACTCGTTCGTGACGCGGCACTTTTCGTTGATTCGGACGGGTTGTTCTCGCCGTCACATTTCCTTTGTTCTTGTTATTGTTGTTCTTGCCTTCCATGGTCACTGCTACGATTGTGTTGTTGTTAGGGGTCGGTCACTGGTTACGATTGTGTTGTTGTTAGGGATCGGTCACTACACATGCGCGCACGTTTGTATATATTGACAGCCGGGACGGCTGCGTTTTTATTCGTGGTGGGGGGGGGGATGATATAGTGTAGTGAAATACGCGGTGCGCACACTTGACTGAGGGCAACTGAGGGCAAGCAGGTGCGCGTGTGCAAACATGGGGTTGCATGAACAAATCGCCACCTAATTAAGGGGCTAAGCGGGTGCAAACCAGGTCCACCGGTTGTGCACGCTGACACGGAGGTGTTTACAGGGAGATGGGAGATAAGGGTTGATTAATGGGCTGACAGGCGCCAGCCTGGCTAGCCTTAAAGAGACACACGAGAGCTCTCGGATAATTGGCCGTAGGATGTAAGGACATGTGTGAACGGAGCAGAGTTAGTTGTTGCCGGGGACAAGAGTGAAGACATCTCGCCGCTGCCGCTCAAGCCGTCAACGGACCTCAACCCTCACGAGTCGCTGGGCGAGTGATGGTTGATCCCCCCACCCGGGACAGATGAGTGAGCAGGTCTGAGGGAGCGTAGGTGGCGGTGGAGTGTGAGAAGCCTCTGTGTGGAGAAGCTTCTGATGCGCTGTGTGCAAGCCTCTGTGTGGAGAAAAAGCTGTGTGCTCAGGCGCTGTGTGCAAGCCTCTGTGTGGAGAAGAAGCTGTGTGCTGAGTCGCTGTGTGCGAAGCCTCTGTGTGTGAAGGTGCTGAATGCGACTAAGCTCTGTGCGGAGTCGCTGGGAGCAGAGCTGCCGAGGGCAAGATAGGTGAGGTGTATCGGAGAGAGACGAGTGGAAGAAGTTAGGTCTAAGTGATCGTGTAGATAGTTCTAGGAGTGCCTACAACTGGTGCAAGAATAGGTTAATAAAGTGTACGCAGGTGACTTGTTACAACGTGTCCGTCTGAGTGATTTTTACAAGACACGACACTTGCAAAAATATTTATACACATTTAATAAGCTCCGAATTCTAAAAACACCAATTAATATAATGAAAACTGTCGTTTGTCACCTTAAATATTTCACACAACTGTGATTTTATAATCGTGTTTAATGTAGCTTATCTAGCACGACGTTTAGAGGCATCTAATGTGGCGGGGTGACTGGCACCGCCCGCCACCGCTGGGTCGGTCGATGTTTGTTTTGAAAACAAATCAACGGGGAGTGCGGCGGTGGCCGCTGCGCAGGGCCCTTGTGATGAATCACCGTGTCCGTGTTTATTACACTCCGTTCTCAACCCGCGCCCCCTTCCTCCCCTAACCATAACAACAACCAAACACGCTAGAGGGACATCCCGTACTCCCCGCGTGAACAACCCAATGCGAATACACTTCACTATATCCACGTTCGAATGCAACAATTGCCCAACAATTGCTTGCTCGTGCCACTGCTGCCGGAAGGGCCTCCACTAGAAGAAGCTCTTGAGAGTGCCCCTTTTTGGAAGGTACTTTGGCCTACTCTTTCATGCTGGTCGGACGTCTTGGAGATGTGGGAGTACCCACTCTGTGCCCCGCCACGCGCGACATGCGCATCAACTGTACACTGTGTGGGCAGAGGTGGGGGGGGGGTTAAGAATCCTGCCCATATTTTGACTTGCCGCGCCGGGAGATCGAACCAGCAGCCTCTGGGTTGCAAGTCCATTGCGCTAGCCATCGCACGTCAGAAATATCCAAGGATGAATGTGGAATACTGAATGTTACAATCCACTGCAACGTGTTTCAATGTCAGTACTGAAAATCGACACGTTGATGTGTCGAGCGGTTTTCAGCTCGGCGAAGTGTGGGGCGTCACTCAACTTTCGTTCACGCACCTGAGCCAATGATGGAAATTCCACATTCCTAAATACGGAGGTGAGCCTGTCCATAGGATAACCAGGGTGGATAACCTCAAAGTTGTCCGTTTCATTGTTCTCAGAGGGATGAGTCGAACGCTAATTGTAATTCGAGATCTTTCTTAGCCTTCTGATTGTGAGCCGTGCACTCTGCCACTACTATGCCCAGCCAGATGCACTGTAGTGGCATAACTACTGTTAAAATACATTGGCACGTAATTAGAAAATCCCCAAACGAATTTCTCCCGAGAAATTCCACCAGCAGGTCCTTTGTTTATAACCAGGCAATGGCGCCCTGGTTAGCGCACTGCATTGCAAAATCTAGGGACCTGAATTTGATTATTACCGCGGCCGTGCTACCAGAGGCGAAGTTATTCTGACGAAAGTGTAGTCGAGCAACCTCCTCCACCCCCCACCATCACCGCGATTCACGTGGAACTTGGAGGCCTCCGTCCAGCAGTGCATTGGCAAAGAGCCGTAAGCGAAACGAAATGAAGATAATACGCAATAACATCGGCGTATTTGGCATGCGCTCAATGATTTTCGGCGGACAGCAGATTGACACGACTACTCGCCACGGTTTGACGTGAAATCAGTTGTTATGGCATAATAACCACCTCAAAGTTTATATATATTTTTTTTTAAACGTGCTCTATATTGACTTAAAGCTTTCGTGACTGCAGCAATTCATATTATTTTGGGTCTTTCAGTAAAGTCACGTAGATAGGTTAAAAGAAAATAACAAAAACCTAAAATAGTTAAATAACAAAAAAACTAAAATAGTAGTTTATTGTTATTTTCTCTGAACCTATTTACGTGACTTTACCAAAAGACCCAAAGAATATAAACATGCTCTCTATATAACATGGCGTTTCTGCAAATGGCCTTATTGTGGAAAGTGTCAGGGTTTTCTTTTCTCCCCATCGTTTTGAGGCTCCGCTCATTGAGTCGACGCGGCGTGAGATGTAAACGCACACCACCTCGAGGGGGAGGGGGCACGTAACGACAGTTATCATTCACCATTGATGGCCCTCAATGCAGCAGTCGGGGTCCAGGGAATTCTGAGCTCATGCCGAGCTTCGTCCGTCGTGGATTATGCACATAACGGTACTCTCGATGACGCACCAGTAGAATTTCAGGGCGTGTTTCTCAAAATAAGAATGGCATGTTTCAGTTTTTCAATTTCATTTATTTGGTATAGCCCTGTGAGCCATTCGGCTCTTCAATCGGGTGCAACCGCAACAAACAAAAAACATGAACAAGAAAACATCTTAAAGTGATTATGTGACTGTGCAAACAGAAAATCAAGGAAAAAGCAGAAAAATATTCCTGAAATAGCACCGTACACCAACGCTGTGTGCAAAAATCCCAGTAGGATGCAAGTCAAAATAACAACAACAACAACCACAAGACAACTAAGATTAAGGACATCAGTCTAACTCCGTACTACAACAAACAAACATGGCCAAACCAAAAAACGTTTTCGAAATCACCCAAATAAAGCCATAAAAGCAATGTAACAGTGACCATAGGAACTGCGTAAACATCTACGGCCCGTTTTTGTTTGTTTGTAAATCTACTGCTGGATGAGCTCCTTCGCACCGAGTCCGGGTCGTGATGGGGTCGACCAAACTTCACCACGTCGGTGAGTGCGGTTTGGTGACGGTGGGGGAGCGGGCAACGTGAGTGACGTGACTAGAAGTACAGTACAACGATGGATGTCACCGCACTGCCGTCCGCTGTCGACGCAGCCTATTGCACCTGTTATGCACGGTGGTCGCTCATTCAAGCACCATTCAGGCTCAACCGCATGGGGTGGGGAAGCCCTCATCTAGCAGTGGATGGGACTAAGGTGCTGTGTAAGTACATCACAGAAACAAATAAGAGCAGGCTCGCGTTTCAGGTAATCGCTTCACTTCAGAGCAGAGAGACATAGGGCAGATTCATTGTTGGTGGCCACACTTTATTCTGTTGTGCTTGACACTGCACTAATATCATCTGTGTTATTTCCAGATATGCTGCAAAGGGACCACTTTACTTTATAAGTCACACTGGCTTAAATCCACGTCCATAAATACCTATGACTGGCGCCTTTAACGTTTAGTGCTGTTTCATACACGGTATGGTACATCAGGTGATGACTGCTTGTGTTGCAGTCGAAACGTCGTGAGAATTTTATTGTTATATATATTTTATTATTTTATTGTTTCCCTTCAACGTGACTTTGCCGAAAGAACCAAGAATATGAATCACTGGCAGTCACGAAAGTTTTAAATCAAAATATAAATGCGTTGTTAAACCCGCCACCACTCGACACAGCCAATTCGTAATGTTTGTCACGGAAACAAGAAATGCCAATTAGGAACTTGTTCAGCAGACCGGTGTGTTGGAGAGTAAACCCACATCATTTACAATTCGAGTACGACGTTTCGCCAGTAATTACAGCTAGCATAATCAGGCGACAGTCATAATTGTGGAGAAATCCTCCTGTTTGATGGACCTACAAAATTGGGGATGGAATATTTACGATGATGTGGTTCTAGTGGAAATATGCGTTTTTCAATGTAATATTAAAATCAAGACTAATGATGATAGTGCACGTTTCTATTGAACAGTCATCAGTGCCAATAACTATGAAATAACAATAAATCAGCAACGGCGTATGTTTTATTTCAGCTGAAAGTTAAAGTTGTCTTTCGCCTTTTATTTATTCTCCTCCGAACTGCTATACAAGTTTTCAGTTCATTGAAAAAAAAATCCTCATCATCAATACACGTCAGTTTAACACGTAGGCTTTCGCGACCAATATTATTGTGTGTTGAAGAGTTAACTCTTCAACACACCGGTGGGCTGAAGTAGTGAATTATTTGTCTTTTGTCAACGTGACACTTTTTTTGCTGATTGGCCGTGTCGGGTGGTGGAGGGTTGCGACACATTTATAAATAAACGCGATCTAACCCAAAAACCTTTATTATGATCAATACACGTGTCTACACTACATAAATAATTACGAAAACACGTACGTATTTGTTCTCGTTTTTTTGTATTTTACGATTGTATTTTTAAAGTATTCAGACAACGAGCGACTATTATCCGGCGGTGCCACGCAGAAACCCCGGGCATTGTGACACGTACAGTACGTCACCTCTACCCCCCCCCCCCCCCACGAGCTCAGAGGTGTTTGTTCTGGCGTAGGCCGAGGCAGATGGTCCCAGGATTGTGGCTCTGACCCCGCGCACACTGCCAGCTATTGAGGAATTGGGAATCTCTACGCAGAGAGTCCTCACACACCCCCCCCCCCACCTGCCCCCACTATACCGTATTGTACGTGAGCAGAGGAGAAAACTCATTGCTCTCTTTCCATTCGTCAACCACGAAAACAAATGGGAGCGGATTTAAATTCAGCGTCCATTGGCAGCTGTGTACGGCAAGGAATATCGAATTCTGCTAAACTGCAAACCCCCCCCCCCCCCACGTGTTAGTCAAATATGGATGAAAATGTAGCTCTACATTTGGGATGCGATTGTATTGCCCATGAAATATTTCCGTGTGCGCTGACTTTGAAGCATCGCGTGTTTGCTTTACGTACAGAACTTCATCATCGCGATCATCATCGGCCATGATCGATCCACTGCTGCTCGATTAAGGCCTCCCGAAGCTGTTCCCATCCCCCACAGTCCACCGTGGAGATGGAGTGATGATATCGGATCATGTTTGCTTGGGGTGGATTGGCAAAGAGCTTCAGTGCATGCTCCGGTTTTTCCCCTCCACATTTAGAAACGTGCATTTAAAAAATTTCGATTCTTTTTTGCTGCTATACATTTCCACATGATAAACCACTTTTGTTGGGCAATCATTTGTGGCCAGGTCGCTCCTTAAAAATAAATCGCTCAGTGGGCTTTACCGAGTAAAATTAAAATAGCTTAATTTTATTTGTATATATATATTTTAAGTGATTTGTTTACCTTTCCTATACTTTGCACTCTTATCGTGTTTTTGTATTGTTTGTTGCGACGTCCTGACCCGCCCCTACTCGACATCTCTGAAGTGGAAGGCCTGTA